GATATTTTTCAACTGGAATAATTATAAAATTTATATTTTACTCAAATTCTGATATTGTTATTAATATATTTATTGTAAGGAAGTGAAAATATGGTGTATATCGATGAAACTTGATATATATGCTATTCAAACTATGGGGGAATAGATTTCTAAGAAACAAAAATTAGTTGAAATTTTTGCCGCTAGGCGAAAATTTGGCGCTCCAAGAACAAGTACGGCCATGCAAATTATGTATAAAGACGTGCCTGGGCTTCGGCAGTCCTCTGCTTCGACTGAAGGCCAACATAACGCAGCATATTACCAATATTCTCACTGAAATGCTTCGTGTGAACGCGTATTACGTTTCCTGCAATCGTCGCAGATGGCTCGCATATTAAACACGTGATATAAAATAAAGTGTAGAAGTAACGTTTCGCATCACTGACTTACGGTTATTGTTTTCGAAGCGCTATATTTTCGCCTAGTGGCAAAAAATGTAGACTAATTTTTGTTTTTTCAGAAATCTATTCCCCCATGGTGTGAATACCAAGTTTCATCGATATATTTTCGTTAGAACTGGCCCCAGTGGGCTCCGAGTAAGTACAGTTTAATTATAACTACCCTGAGCAAATATAAAGAATCTTTTCAGGGATCATCCTCTCATCCGGAAGGAGGTGAATGGCTACTTTTAATTTCAACCTCCCGCCCGCAACAGGCCCCATTTGCTCAAAATATACTTTTTAGGAGTTTTCGAAGATGCCGAGTTTAAATATTTGGTCCATTTTTCTCAAAATTTGATTGGTTTTGGTTAATTATCATTTCGTATTCGGCGGCGAATGGTGCGTTAGAGTTAACATCAGAAAAAATTTGAACAGGGCACGATTTTGTTCACTCACTTTGAAGCTTAATAACTGCTGTGTTTTCTGTCGAAATTTTCTGAAATTTCACACGGAGGTTTGTTTATTAGGGGAATTGATGCTATTAAATTTTGGTGGTTAAAGATCAAGAGGGTGAGGAGATAATGGGGGTTGTGGTATATCTATCGTAACAGATGGAACCATACGCAATTTTAAATGTTTTTGCTGGGAAAGTTAAGCAACTCGTCGCTGGATTTTTATAATTTATTTAAAGCTTTATGATAAACACGACAACGGTAGGTTAAAATAACGAAACTTTTAGAATGTGGTTTTCATTTTCGTGTTTGTTGTTCTTACTTTTATCCCTGGAACCTCCGGGCATATCTTCTATTATTATATATAATTAATGAAAATTATATAATTTATAGCATCCAGTTTTTGTTTGCACGAGCTTTAGTCGATATGGGGGCATATACAATTAATTAAAAGCCCTAGGGCCTCCACATAAATAAATCCTTCTTCGAAAGTAAATATTGTAAATGCTAGTTTTATCTTGCTTATTTCATCAAAAAGTTTGCCATTAAAATCGATTTATTATTTTATTTTTATGTCTTGAAATCAATGTATTGAATAAAACAAAACGATTTAAATTATAGAAAAATAGAATTCTCGAAATAGAATTGCTAATTTGATGGATTCAAAGAGTTTGACGAACTCTTTGAATCCATCAAACTATTTATAATTTATTTTAATTACTACATTTCATTTGAATGTATTGAATAAGAAGAGGGAGAAAAGAAGGTCTTAAAATCGTCGGTATTTATTATTTAAACTTGTTTTTTTTTTTTTTAAATAAATATCGTTAAAAAGAATATTTTCCAAGTGTCAAAACATCTTTGTCAACACTTTTGTTTATTAGTTCTACCGTTGAATGTAGACATTAAAAGTGGAATTTAAAAATAAATTTTACAATTCAATTTATTGACGTTAAATGTTGCTATTTGTGAAGTTATGAAGATTTGTAAACAGTTTTTCTTTTTACGAAAGAAAAAAGAAAACTGTTCTGTAATAATATTTGAATAAAAATTCAAGGAAATAAAATTCTAAATCTTATTTTAAAGCAATATAATTATTAATATATAGGATTATAAAATCAATTTTTGGACACTGTCTAATCGAATCTAAATGCTTCTTTCACGTGTTTTATAAGTTAATTTAGATTAAACTTTCTTTTGCAATTTGAAAAAAAATTGTAGACTTATAAATTCCCATTGTCGTCCGTCTGTCCTTCTTTAATTTCGGGAATAGAGATGAAAACCGAAAGCAGATATGGAACCGTAGGAGCAGGATCCCCCGATAATGTAACTTCCGGTTTGCATTGGAAGTTACGTTATTTCAATTCAAAAATGTTCCCCTGAAAGGAGTTAATGGATGACAAGCACGATACTATTGCTAATAGGAAAAGTATGATGTACAGGGGCAAGCCACTACTAATTTGAGGTGGACAGCGTATATTTTAAATGAATAAATTAAAATTTATTTAATAATTTAAAATATATGGCTCTACACCTCAAATTAGTACTGTACATTATACTTTTCCATTAACAATGGAGTCGTGCCGGTCATCTATCTAACTCCTTTCAGGGGGACCTTTTTGAATTGAAATAAATTGTCTTCCAGTTTAAACCTGAAGTTTGTATATAGTTAATCGGGGTTTCCTGTTCCTAGTTTTTCCATATCTAATCTTGAATTTCATTTATAGTAGACTCCCCTATAACACTGTTGATAATTTCGTTTTATATGAATTGCATGTTGTACGAGTCACTTAGATTTTACAAATACATGAGCCGTTCACAGCCCGGCACACGTATTTGTAAAATCGAAGTGACTCGTACAACATGGAATTCATATAACACGGAATTATCAACAGTGTTATAGGGGGGTCGACTGTATCTAACACCGTTCTTCAGATTAAGGAAGCACAGACAGACAAACAGATAGAGAGTGGAATTTTATAGGTCTACAACTTTTTCAAATTGCAGCCCAATAATCCACAAATATTCATTCTGACCATTTATGGGCCACGTAAATATAAGCAATGACTAAACAGAGACCATTTTTGGGAATAAACAATGAATAAACAACTAAAAAATAGACATTTTAAAATATAATTCTTAATTACATTTCATTAATTAATTAATCTTCTTATAACATCTTAAAACGGAACCTTAATAAAACGGAAAACTGTCTAAACGGGAAAAATATGAATTAAGTAGGCTACCGTGAGAATCTGGTTTACACAGGTTTTACTGTACTCAATTATTATGCTAAACTATGGAATATATTTACCTGCGTAAACCGGATTCGCAAGGTACCGAATATATTTTCTGGTTTGACAGGTTTTCTTTTTTGAACAGGTTTTCCACTCGACTACTGGTGGACTATCTAATATTTAATGAATTACAGTACAGTATATCAATTAATTTTATCCTTCAGAAAGTTAGTGGTCCAATCTCTCTTAATCCTGAAAGGTCTAGTTGCTTTAAATAACGTTTTGTTGTAACCGAATTAATGAAAGCTTATTTATTGAGCTTATTTTGAAATATCATTATTTAATGCTTGCTCGGGTCCATTTTTTCCCATTTCGACAGGCCCGATCGGCAAAGAAATCGTGCAGCTTAAGAATATGAATTGTTTATTAAAATTCATAAATGTTTTCAGCCCACCGGTAAATAAAATCACTAAACACAGGTAGCTGGTTGCGGATTTACATCTCACTAATGGACTGGACAGATGGAGTTTTCCTGGTTTACTTCACGTGTCTAACACCTAAATAGAGACTAATTTCCTATAGAAAATTCTCCTGAAAGGCATTCCTGCCCATGCATTTCGTTGCTATATCCCATTAAATATGTCGGATCTTAGCTTTGGGAGACACGGGATCGAATCCGTGAGAACAACTCCCCAGAATTTCTAATGGGCAGATAAGGTAGGATATGTCAGGCTTCGTCCTTCATCATTGTGAGCCGTATCCACATTGTATACGGAAATGGTTCACTTAGTCCCATGTAATTTAAATTATTTTCATTCCTATTCGTTTCGTTTTCTATTTTTGTCTTTCCGTCTTCTAAACTCTTAGTGCAAACAAAGATGACCTGTTTTAATCCTATACCTTACCGATTCGAACAAAGAGCTTCTTGGCTTTTTTAAAAAACTATTTCCGCTCTGTGGGCACTAAGAATGCCTCTTTTAACAAGCCCATTATAGTTTCGGCCAGGCCCACAATGGGGCGGCCGGGTAATGAGGGACGGGACTCGACATATCCGAACGGACCACCCCCCGAAAAATTCCTGGGGATTTATCGACACTGTCCGGATTCGAACCCGGATTCCCCAAAGCGGCCATCCAGCCATCAAGAGCTTCTTGGATTGGATTGAGTGAAGAAAGCAACGGCGATCTGCCAAAGAGAGGGATGCCTCTCGGGGAGACTTTCTTTAGGAAATTGGCTCCTGTTTAGATGTTAGACACGTGAAAAACATCCGGAAATCTCCACGTAGCCGGCCCATTGATGAGGCTTAAATCCGCGACCGGTGTTATGGTTTGATTCACTTGGCCGAAACGATAAAAGCTGCCCGAGGGGCAAAAGAAAAGTCAAACTAAAATGAAAATGGAAAAATTGTCAACAACTTGTTTATTCTTAAATAAACAGAGTTTTTTAAGATATATTTTAACGCTCTCGATCCTCATTGATTTGATAATAATCCGTGTAAAAATCTGTAGGGATAAATGACGCAATAAAATTTAAGTTTCCAAAACTTATTTTAGAAATATATTTTCGTATTATTATTATCACATTATAAATGTAAAATTTATATTTCTGTTTCATCAAAATTAATTAATTTTTAAATAATTAAATTACGTAAAATTAAAAGTTTTCTTTATTAACCACTAGAGGGCAATATTCTGCAGTCATTAAGTTTATTATTATATTATAAATGTTGGTTAACGTATAATTTTGATAATAAAATGTTTCCAAAATATTGTATAAATATCACCTAAAATAATAATATTTTAAAAGTGTATTATAAAGAATTGTAATAAAAAAAGTTGTTTATAGATATATTAAAAGAACGCAAATTGCAGAGGGCGCTTATATACATGTTTGTAAACACATGTGGTCGATATATTGAAAAATTCTATTGGCAACTGTTTTAACCGTATTTCTTAAAATATTTCCAGCTGAATAGTAACAACCAATTAATATATTTGCTTTTGTTTTTAAAAGATGGATAACAGACCTCCTACTTCTAATAGGCCCTTATCTGGTATAAGGCCTTTCACATCTCGAAGAATGTCGACAGGTCTTCCTAGTCGAGCCGGACCACCGGGTACAGCATCTCGTCTAATCACAGCAGCTAGTAATAGACCAGGCACCAGAGCTAGTGTTGCTCAAGGTATTGGTGTAGCCTCTCATATTATGGTTACTGAAAGACCCATGTCACAACAAGGATTGGTAACTCCAAGAACTGGAGTACGTACGCAGAGAAGACAGATTCAAGATAAATCATATTTTATTGGATTATTAAGAAGTAAAGTGAGTGAACTAACTGCAGAGATTGCGAGAATGTCAAGGGAAATGGAAAGTTTATCTAAAGAACAGTCCACCTATTTGACTTACGAAAAACGTGCAGAAGCACTAGCTATTGAAATAAAAGAACTTCAAGGGGAACTTGCTGATCACAATCTTCTTGTAGATAAATTAAACACTGACACAGAAATGAGTGAAGTACAAGAAGAGTACCAAGATTTAAAAGTATGGACTAAAAGAGATATAACTCGTTTCCATTATCCTATTATCTATATGCTTTTGTTTTTTTAATTTAATACATAGGATTTATTTTAGCAAGTTTCAACTGGATTTCATTTAACTAAATACATTCACACCTTAAAACTCCAGCAAACATTATAATGTCATTTACTAACTTTTGGACATATTCAATGTCCTTTAGGCAATATCACATCAAAAAACAAATATTGAATGGACATTCCATATATTTAAACTTAAAGAAAAATTTAAACATTCTACAGCATTAAAGAGAACATTACAAAATTTAAAGTTGTCTGTTACAAAATATCTTAAAATAGAACATATTCCACCAGTTTAAACTTATAATTTAAACATTCCTCAGTCTAACCAGAACATTAAATTTCCCATTACAGAAAACACAGAAAAGAAAAACAGTCAAAATTCTTACACATTTAAAATATTTAACCATTATGGCTAAACAAAATAGCAAAATAAATTGCCCTTGATAAAATATTCAATATTTACACTTCAGGATATAACAAACAAACCAAGCAGCATCCATCACAGTGGTCTTTCCTGGTCCCATTAGATTTACTAAATCCACTTTGTTTTCGAGATTGGCTTATTAAAAAAGATACTTTTTAAATTCCTGCCAAAGTATTATAGACCAGGCACCAGAGTCAACTTTAGTTTTAAAGTATTTTTTGTATTTATTTTGCTTCTGTTAATGGATTGAGGTAAGTAAATGTTGCTCAAGTAAGCCTTACTATAATAAATAAACAAATCCTTATGCACTTCAAAATTTTGTAGTATCCATCTTCTTTATGGTAAAAAAAAAATAGTTGGAAATCAAGAGTTTTTCAATGTAAATTTACATTGAATAGCATTTCATTTTTTATCATATTAAATAGAATAATTTGCAAGAATTGCTCAAAATGCCCTCCATGGATGTAGATGCATATAGTGAACCAGTGACTTGTCTATACTAGCTAACATGTATTAAAAATTTTTTTTTTCAACATTTAAAATAAAAAGATTCAGTTTGTATGTGTTGGTAACACAGAAGTGGAAAACAAACAGCAGTATTCTCTTTACAGGAGATTAAAATTGGCTGGCTAGATCTCAGAAATGAAGTATCAAAGCTACTTCATTTCCTGCTGTAAACACTCCAAAGTGTTTACAGCAGGATTTTAAGCTTATTTATCATCCTAGAAATCTATCCCTAAAATATTGGCATGGAGTTTCATTACACCCTATAAACTATATGATAAAGATGTTTATATCATATATAAATTAATCTTAATGAGCTATTAAAAATGTTTTTGTTTATTATCCAAAATGTTTGAAATGAACAAATATCAGCATGTTTAAAGTAATGTATTTCCGAGACAGTGTCTTCCTTTATTTGTTTTTTTCCTTCACTACTAGGTTCATTAATAGACACAAGGCATTTTACATCATCTTTATTGTGAATCTTCTATAGGCCGATACAATAAAGATGATGTAAAATGCCTTGTGTCTATTAATGAACCTAGTAGTGAAGGAAAATAAAAATGTTTAAAGTATTGGCAACAATAACAGTACAGTAAATTCCACTAACTCAGAGAAATTTTTTTGAAACAGTAATTTAAAATCTCTTCATAATAGAAAAACTATAATTAATGAGTGTTTTTGATACCTGGAAGTTTTTGCAATACAGTGCATTATATTATAGTAATCATCTTACTAAAGAGTACATTGCCGTATACTGTACCATCATGAAATTTTTTAAGCTCATTTCTTATAATAATAAACTCACCTGAGTAAAACTTCTATGTAGAATTACTGTACTGTGTATCCATGTCCTTGGAAAAAACACCCTGCTAACTTGGTTTTTCATAAACTTGGACAACCTTTACCCTCTATTAGTCCAAATTAATAGGAGATTATTGTATTAAATAACAATAAAGTTGTAATTTACATAAATGGTTCTTAAAGAATATTGTTATAAACATCAAACTAATGTAGTCTGTAAATACACATAAAACTCCAATAAGATATATAGTTTTATGTATGAAAAAATGTAGTACATGAGATATATATAAATTTTTCATATATATTTAATACTGTTAAAATAATAACATTAGGGTTGTGATCCCATTTTTCATATTTTAATAAGATCTTTTCCAAATGTAATAATCCCAGTAGATTGACAAGAAATGTTTTATTATACAAATATATGTATTATCCGGAAATCTCCACGTAGCCGGCCCATTGATGAGGCTTAAATCCGCGACCGGTGTTCTCATCCGGAAGGAGGTGAATGGCTACTTTTAATTTCAACCTCCCGCCCGCAACAGGCCCCATTTGCTCAAAATATACTTTTTAGGAGTTTTCGAAGANCATTTCTGCAAAGTAGTAATTAAAATTTTAATTGCTGTGTTTTATTATTCTGAATCAATAATTGAAACTATTTTCTATTTATTTTCTTGGAAACTCAATAATTAAAAAAAATTCTAGTTTTTATCTGAAATATTTTAACTATTCTGACATATAATTTATAAACGTTTCTAGTTTTTGCTTTACAAAGATCAGGAAAAAACTGGAAGTTTTTCTTTTAATTTCTTTAGTATTGCAGGTTTTTTTTCTAAAATGGAATTGAACTTAAGAAAATTGTTCAATTCCATTTTTGAATTTAAAGTTTCTTTCTCTTTTAGGATCTGTAATTACAAACAATCTGAAAAATCAAACTTTTGAAATCTTTCATCCTTAGTTCAGATTGAAAGTGAAATCCTAGGATATTTCTTGTTTTTCTAGATTATCATTTGCATTTTTTATCATTACCCTTTCTGATATGATTTAATATTCGCTTCATTGTTGCTGGTTTATAAATCAGTAATCTGTTATTAGAAAAAATTTATTAGTTACTAAATTCAGGAAAAGTATTTACAAATGTTCAATCATGATCAGATTAATTGTTTGAATATGAGAGATCGAAAACAAATATAAATTATATTTTTTTAGGCACATAATGAACAAGAAACTCAAGTTATAGATGAATTATTTGAACAACGTCAAGAAAAAGAAGCCCAAGTTCAACAGTTAGAAACTGAAATAGAACAAGAACGTCATATGACTGATAATTTAATTTCTTCAATGAAACCAGATTTAAGAAAAAAGTAAGTTTTATCAGTAATTCATCTAAATATACATTTAAATCTTTGTTGATTATAAGAACATTTTCTTTTAATTGATTAATTCCAAATATTTTCCTAATATTAAATAATACATAAGTAGTATTTGGCCAAATTTGGTAAGGTTAAGTAAAATAAACATTATGGTAATATTTTAACTAGTCCACTAACTTTTCAAAAATAGCTGAAATTCATTGCTATTTTAATCAAATATAATTTTTATGTTTTTATTCCAAGACAACATTACAATTTGGAAGTAAACAAATTTTAGTTTTATCTATCTGAAATTGCTTCTTTTTATTTATATAAGGTTTTGTATACTATTCTTTACATAAAACTAATGACTGAAATTGTTTGGATTAACTAATATTAAAGAAATGAATGTAATTCAATAAATTTTTAACCATTAGATTATATTTTGTGCATAAAATAATAACACTGAAGTGTTTTTATAAAAAAATTAGTTTGAATTAATGGAATAAATGTATTAAATTGAACCCCAGTGTTATTTAGTTTAGGTATTAAATTGAAGTTTTATATACTGTTAAATTGAAATTTATACAGTAAGGCAAAGGTCTCAAACCTATTGCCTATAGGCCAGATATGTCTCTCAAAGCATATTTACCAGCCTGCATAGCTTTTTTTCACTGATATGTTTTATCTCAATGGTTGAACTAGTTCAAAGCATATAAACTTTTATAAAGACAACTAGAATTAACAGATTTTGTTGCAAATGATTTTTATAAAAATCTATTTAAAGAACAGTTAAATTTTATATGGCAAAGCTTTTCATCCTACAGTTTATTTCTGCATATTTATTATACAGAAACAATATGGTTATATTTAAAGGACAATCACATGACAGATCATAGGTTGGCACACTGATATCTTTTATTCTATCTCTCTTTTTTCTCCAAAATGTACATTTTGGACTTAAAGTCTCTCTTCGGTTGAAATAAATGCTATCATAGAGAATTCATTTTTACATATATTTGTCAGAAGAGAATTTAAAAACCTTAAGAAATTTGTACAGGGATATATTCTATTTTTGATTCTACATACATCATCTTACCAATATCTAAATGAACAAACCTTTTTGAAAAAGAAATATATAAAATCAAAATATTGAACATCATAGTCCAATGAATTTCCCAATACACAAAACTCTACAAAATTTATCCACAATTTTGATGGCAGTTTTTTGAACAAGCCATTCAAATCTCCCATTGATTTACATCTTTTGTTAATCAGAAATAAAAAGTCTTAATCTTTGACTTCAGTATCTTTTGTATTCAGGCCTTAAATTTGTCTTTTACAATTCAGATGGCTTTTCTTAGAGAAAGGTTGAAGACCCTGCAGTAAGATATTAAATGTATTTAAATATGATATATTTTATAAATAAAATTTTGTTCTTTTAAATGTAATCTAAATTAAAATACAGTCGACCCCCCCCCTAATTACGGTCCCTATAGTTACGATTCCTATAAAACTACGAAAAAATTGCTACCGGTATCCGTAAAAAATAGTAAAAGTTCCCTATAAACACCTCAAACGTCATCGGGAAGCCGAACTACTTTCCCGCCGTCCGTAGCGCCACGCTACGGAGAGATTTCTATCGTCTGGACAGTATTATATAAATTATATATAAATTAGGTACTGTACATATAATTATATATTAATTATATATAAATTAGGTACTGTATATATAATTATATATTAACTTATTGTAACTTTGTTATAATTAAATATATAATTTCCGCCGTCTAGCGTGGCGCCACGCTACGGAGATTTTTACGCTAACTATCGTCTGTCAGTATGTAAATTAGGTACCGTAAGTCTAATACAGTACTGTAATTTTATACATTTCTTGTGAAAGAAACATTTCTTATTCAACGGCGATTAAAATTATTTATATTAATGATGTCTCCGAAGTTCTACGAAGTTTTCACAGAAAAATAAGTTGTTAGAAATCGGCCGCTCTTTGCTGAGCTGTTCCGCGACGAAAACAATGTTGAGCAATGGCAATGTCGAATGGTGACACTCGGTAAGTAATCCTACAATTTTTTGTTTATAGCGTAGTTTATACGGATTATTCCCAAAAAATATATACGTATTTTGGAAATGTTGAGTCTGATTAGTCTAGAATCGATTAATTTTATGGAAGAAAATCTTTCAAACAGCCGTAGTCCGTAAACTTGACACGTGTCGGGTTGTGATTGGAAGGATTCGTAAGAAAGCGGATTCCTAGAGAATGGAACGTATCTCTATCTTATAGGGGGGTCGACTGTATACTTTTAATATTTCATTATTTTTGCAAAATTATATCTTCAAGAGATAAGAATTGCAGAAATAAATATTATTTTGATTGAAAGGAAATTTTTTTAAATTTAAATTAATTAAAATGTGTTAAACAATGCATAAGAATATTATAGATCTTAGACTATATAATACAGATTTGCAATGTTTTATAATTGCTATACTAATTAAAAGAATGCAGTGGCTCAGTGTACATGTTTCATTTTGCAAAAAGATCTATTTTTTTAATTTTCTAAGATTTAAGAAAAGTATTATATTTAGATATAGAATAATTTAATCTAACTTCATCATTTTTGAAACCAGAGAAATAAAGTAATAAATTTTATTTTTCGAATTATTAATGCCATTATTAATACAAATAAACTTTCCTGAATTGAAGTGTATAGTTTTAAAGAAAAGAATATATGCATTACTTATATTTATCTTTCAATCGCAAGCAAATTTAATGCAAAACAATATTCTGTTTGTTGCATCTTTTACAGTTGTTTACAAAATTAATATGCCACAGTCAATAGTTGTTATGAGTAGTGAACAAGTGTGAAAGAGTAATGAATTGATCTTGGCAGTTGCCATTATAAATTACTTTTCTGTTGTGCTCTACAAACCTGTATAGATGTTGAAAATGGAGTGTATTGAAAAGCTTGAATATCCAGCTGTGATGATGTATCGAACAAACACTAGTGAATGTTAATATAATAAGTGGAATGTAAAAATAGTTGTATAGCAGAGGGAAAGTACAAAAATAAGAGTAACAAATGGATGGGAGCTTGTTTTGAACTCTCAGTGAATTAATTATAAATGTAATATTTAAGTGTCATTTTTTTTGGGCACTCAATTACTCACTTTCCTGTGCTTTTGGTCTGCAACTTCCTAAAGAAAGAAATCACTACATAACAAACTATACAAAATAAAAGAATCAAAATTAATTTTGTTTTCATTTTCATAATTATTCTATCCACAAGTTCCAATTTCATACGGATGGATGATGGAAACTTTTAGGAATTTTTTAAATAAAATTAGAAAATTCTCAAAAATAGATTAAATTTGGATCTAAAGCAGTTCACAGCAAATTTTACATCAGTCCAATAGAATTAAAACTATTAAAACATATTTGATCATTTCTACATTAGATTAATGCAATATAGAGTAATCACTTGAAATCAACCAACTTGCATAGCAAAAATTAATAAAATATTTTCATTTATTTTTGGTAGATTAAATGCACACTTTCACAAATGAAGTTGGAAATTAGATTACAGATAAATGATTGCCAGATTATATTGGACTATATTACTACTAATATTATTAATTAAATGCTAAGTAATATGGCACTAGAGGCAGGTGTTAGGTGCTATTTCTTGTTAAATTTAATTAATTTAGAAGGTTCTAGAAGAAAAGAATGGCGCAAAGTGAAACATTAACTCATAACCCTGCTTACTGTACCGTCACATTGCCAGTTACACTACCCAGACTTTTGTCTGATCTCTGCTTCCAGAACTTAATTAATTTGGATATAACTATACTCGGTTACTTGCGGTGCCAGCTGGAGACAACTCAGCTGGCACCAAAAATTTGCAATTAAAACATTAATTAAAAATGCCAGGACAATAAATATTTCATTACAAAATTCTACAAATATTTCAATACAACATTACATATTGAGGTGGGAAAAGTAGCCTACAAAGAAAGGTCAACTCCACCGTAAGGATTGTTTGTTCCTGAATTGTGTAAAGGATGTCACGAAATAAAGAAGACACTTATGTGGTACTTCTATGCATTAGAATTTTGTAATAGGCTGAAAATGTTTGTAAGTTACATTTTTGACTTTTCTTCAAGACCAAAAAATCTCTTGTTTTGTTAATTAAAATTTTCTATTATATTTACAATTTTGGACTTATTGTCCTTCAATATATAATTTGGTTGCATGGATAAAATTTATAAGAAACAATAAATATATAAGTATTAAATAAAAATGTATAACATCTTTTAATATTTATTAATTCATAGATACTCAGATTTGAAGAAAACCAATCAAGATCTTCAGACCCAGTTGGAACAGTTGCAGCAGAAATCTGATGCATTAAACACACGCCGATTAGCATTAGAAGAGGAATTGGCATTATCTCAGGTATAAACTTGATCAATAATTTTTACAGTTGTGTAATGAAAAAATATAGATGAAAACGTGTAAGTTAAAATTTCAATAATGAGAAAGTTAAACTACTGTAAAATAATCATATTTTTACTCTAACAATTTCAGGAACAAATATAACATTAATAAAAGCATTTTATTACACTTCTCATAAACGTAAAACAATATTCAAGTAAATGTTACATTGGAATCATCAAGCAGTAATTTATAATGAAGTTCTATCAATATTGTATCATGTTGATAAACTGAAAACAAATTAATAAATGAAAACTTATCATCAAGTGTCTTGTACCTGTTAGATATTTATTTATTTGATATTTTTGCAGATGAGATTATTTTTAGTCATTAATTACTTAGCAGATGTATTGTAACAAAACATTTGAAGCATTGGATAGTACGTTCTTAGAAATAATTGAATTTAACTGCCATTTTCAGGTTTTGATTTAAAATTTGTTTTTCCTTATGTCATTGGACAAATTTTTTATCAGTAATGTTTAAATTAATTTTTAAAGTGTATAAATTGGAAATTATGGATTATCTGATAAAGAAACGTGTTTTGAGAAGGTTTTATAGTTATGATGATGATGATAGAATTTCAGAACATCTTATGCTGAAATGTCATTGCTTTTAGCTGATGATAAAATCTGTAATTCAGATAATATTGATAATATTACAAACACATTGCTTATACAGAAATTCCAGATTTGTGCAGAGATACATAATGAAGATTGTCATCTTGGTTACATATCTCTGCACTAAATTAAGTATTGCTCTAAGTCTGCACTATGTAGTACTGTTAAATATTATCCTTGGGTTGAATATAAGTACTCAATGATGTCCTGATGTTATAGTTTATCNACATTGTTTTCGTCGCGGAACAGCTCAGCAAAGAGCGGCCGATTTCTAACAACTTATTTTTCTGTGAAAACTTCGTAGAACTTCGGAGACATCATTAATATAAATAATTTTAATCGCCGTTGAATAAGAAATGTTTCTTTCACAAGAAATGTATAAAATTACAGTACTGTATTAGACTTACGGTACCTAATTTACATACTGACAGACGATAGTTAGCGTAAAAATCTCCGTAGCGTGGCGCCACGCTAGACGGCGGAAATTATATATTTAATTATAACAAAGTTAAATTAAGTTAATATATAATTATATATACAGTACCTAATTTATATATAATTAATATATAATTATATGTACAGTACCTAATTTATATATAATTTATATAATACTGTCCAGACGATAGAAATCTCTCCGTAGCGTGGCGCTACGGACGGCGGGAAAGTAGTTCGGCTGCTCGATGACGTTTGAGGTAATTATAGGGAATTTTTACTGTTTTTTACGGATACCGGTCACAATTTTTTCGTAGTTTTATAGGAATCGTAATTATAGGGACCGTAATTATAGGGGGGTCAACTGTATTTAAGTGTCATTTTTTTGGCACTCAATTACTCACTTTCCTGTGCTTTTGGTCTGCAACTTCCTAAAGAAAGAAATCACTACATAACAAACTATACAAAATGAAAGAATCAAAATTAATTTTGTTTTCATTTTCATAATTATTCTATCCACAAGTTCCAATTTCATACGGATGGATGATGGAAACTTTTAGGAATTTTTTAAATAAAATTAGAAAATTCTCAAAAATAGATTAAATTTGGATCTAAAGCAGTTCACAGCAAATTTTACATCAGTCCAATAGAATTAAAACTATTAAAACATATTTGATCATTTCTACATTAGATTAATGCAATATAGAGTAATCACTTGAAATCAACCAACTTGCATAGCAAAAATTAATAAAATATTTTCATTTATTTTTGGTAGATTAAATGCACACTTTCACAAATGAAGTTGGAAATTAGATTACAGATAAATGATTGCCAGATTATATTGGACTATATTACTACTAATATTATTAATTAAATGCTAAGTAATATGGCACTAGAGGCAGGTGTTAGGTGCTATTTCTTGTTAAATTTAATTAATTTAGAAGGTTCTAGAAGAAAAGAATGGCACAAAGTGAAACATTAACTCATAACCCTGCTTACTGTACAGTCACATTGCCAGTTACGCTACCCAGACTTTTGTCTGATCTCTGCTTCCAGAACTTAATTAATTTGGATATAACTATACTCAGTTACTTGCGGTGCTAACTGAGTCGTCTCCAGCTGGCTCTGAAAATTTGCAATTAAAATATTAATTAAAAATGCCAGTATGATAAATATATCATTACAAAATTCTAATTCAAAGAAGAACCCCATAAGTGTCTTCTTTATTTCGTGACATCCTTTACACAATTCAGGAACAAATGATCCTGACAGTGGAGTCAACCTTTCTTTGTAGGCTACTTTCCCTGCCTCAATACATAAAAACAGTAGTAAAAAATTCCCAAGCTTCAGCACAATCGTATAAAATTAATTTACAATTAAAACATTAATTAAAAATGCCAGGACAATAAATATTTTATTGCAAAATTCTACAAATATTTTGAATACAAAATTACATATTGAGGTAGGAAAAGTAGCCTACAAAGAAAGGTCAACACCGTAAGGATTGTTTGTTCCTGAATTGTGTAAAGGATGTCACGAAATAAAGAAGACACTTATGTGGTACTTCTATGCATTAGAATTTTGTAATAGGCTGAAAATGTTTGTAAGTTACATTTTTGACTTTTCTTCAAGACCAAAAAATCTCTTGTTTTGTTAATTAAAATTTTCAATTATATTTACAATTTTGGACTTATTGTCCTTCAATATATAATTTGGTTGCATGGATAAAATTTATAAGAAACAATAAAAATATTACTATTAAATAAAAATGTATAACATCTTTTAATATTTATTAATTCATAGATACTCAGATTTGAAGAAAACCAATCAAGAGCTTCAGACCCAATTGGAACAGTTGCAGCAGAAATCTGATGCATTAAACACACGCCGATTAGCATTAGAAGAGGAATTGGCATTATCTCAGGTATAAACTTGATCAATAATTTTTACAGTTGCGTAATGAAAAAATGTAGATGAAAACGTGTAAGTTAAAATTTCAAAAACGAGAAAGTTAAACTACTGTAAACTAATCATATTTTTACTCTAACAATTTCAGGAACAAATATAACATTAATAAAAGCATTTTATTACACTTCTCATAAACGTAAAACAATATTCAAGTAAATGTTACATTGGAATCACTAAGCAGTAATTTACAGTCGACCCCCTAAGATATAGATACGTTCCAATTTATTAGGAATCCGATTTCTTACAAGTCGTTCCAATCACAGCCCGATACGTGTCAAGTTTACGGACTACGGCTGATTGAAAGGTTTTCTTCCATAAAATTAATTGATTCTACACTAATCCGACTCAACATTTCCAAAATACGTATATTTTTTCGTAGTTTTATAGGAATTGTAATTATAGGGACCGTAATTATAGGGGGGTCGACTGTATAATGAAGTTCTATTAATATTGTATCATGTTGATAAACTGAAAACAAATTAATAAATGAAAACTTATCATCAAGTGTCTTGTACCTGTTAGATATTTATTTATTTGATATTTTTGCAGATGAGATTATTTTTAGTCATTAATTACTTAGCAGATGTATTGTAACAAAACATTCAAAGCATTGGATAGTACGTTCTTAGAAATAATTGAATTTAACTGCCATTTTCAGGTTTTGATTTAAAATTTGTTTTTCCTTATGTCATTGGACAAATTTTTTATCAGTAATGTTTAAATTAATTTTTAAAGTGTATAAATTGGAAATTATGGATGATTTGATAAAGAAACATGTTTTGAGAAGGTTCTATAGTTATGATGATGATGATAGAATTTCAGAACATCTTATGCTGAAATGTCATTGCTTTTAGCTGATGATAAAATCTGTAATTCAGATAATATTGATAATATTACAAACACATTGCTTATACAGAAATTCCAGATTTGTGCAGAGATACATAATGAAGATTGTCATCTTGGTTACATATCTCTGCACTAAATTAAGTATTGCTCTAAGTCTGCACTATGTAGTACTGTTAAATATTATCCTTGGGTTGAATATAAGTACTCAATGATGTCCTGATGTTATAGTTTATATCTTTATATGCAAATTATGCATATTNTAATGCTGTTTCTGTTTGTAATTTTAAAATTTGTTCGATTGGTTAAGACCATTTTGGTTTGTAATTTAAAATTTGTTCAAAACAACATTCAATTAGTATTTGTGCCTGAAGATGACATTCATAACAGCGTCAAAAGTGCTTGCTGAGAAATAAAATATTTCTTAATGCCTTTCTAATGCCTGTTTTATGTTGAGTTATTCTCTTTGTATGTACATTTGTTGGCATGACATGCACCCTACATATATATGTTACTTTACAAGATCTACAATTTTTCAAATTGCAGCCCAATTAAAAAATTTTATTAAAAAGAATTAAAGAAGATAATCAAAAAAGTTATTTCAAATAGCAAATTTGAACTGTTAATGATGATGATTTTAAAAATTCATCTTTACCATGTATTGACTGTTACTTTATATCTTCAACTAATTTTTATGTTACTTTAAATTAATTGCATTTTATTATATAATAAATTGTTAAAAATTAATGTAAGATTTTTAATATATTTAATCCCTTATTTTTCTATGATGCTGATAAAATAATAAATAATACAAAAAGATATTAAACAGAATGTGCTCAGCAAATAATTAGCTTATCACAACACACATTTCTTGTTGCCAAGATAGTTTTATTTAAAACTAACATTTTTGACCTACTCTATAGTCCATCCTCAGGCTTAATGCGAGAATTGGAACATTGGCATTCCATTAAATAGAATACATATGTTCAAATTGAAAAAATTGACAATGGAAAAATAAAAACATAACCAGAAAAAAAAAATAATATACAAATACAAATATACAATAAAAACAGTCATATATAGTAATAAAAATAAAAATAAATTCACTAATAATACTTTAAATAAACATTGAAATAAATTGTTAAGGTATAATTGATGAAACATGTAACTATAAACTAAGGTAAGATTACGAGTTCGTGGCAAATTTTTTTACCATAAATTTCCATGCCGTTGGAAGGCATTATGCATCTTACTTTTCAATAAAACTATCTCGGCAACAAGAAAGGTGTGTTGTGATAATACAAAAAAATATTCATAATATTAATTTTACAATAATTCAAAAAATATATATATATATTATTATATCATTTAGCATATATAGTTTCAAGTTTTGTAATCAACAACAGAAATTATACCTATATAATTATTTGAATATTTTTTACTGTTTAATTTTACTATTTTACTCTTTTTAAAATGTAATTATTATTTAAATGTTATACTTTTCATATTTTTAGCTTCATATATTCAATAATTACAAAGTTGAATTATTTCTTAAGGTGAAACAAGAAGCTGTAAGTCTTTATGAACGACTTAGAGAACTAGAAGAAAGAAGAGATAATTTATTAGAAGAGGAGAGACTTAAGGGCACTCCTGCACAAGAAAGAGAACGCTTATTGCAACAAGTATATTTTTTCATAATACCTTGTTTTTTATTGTTAAAGATAATTCTCTGCTTTTATCTTTTTTGGGTTTTTTTTTTTTTATTAATGAACAAATAAATATTTTTAGTAAAATGATTCAAAATATATGTTGAAATAATTAAATATTGAGCAAAGAAATCTTGAAATTTTTTAAAGTGTATATTATATTTTAATCCCATTATAATGCTGTTAAATCGTTCTTTCTCATTTTATTTAAGGTGATCCTGAGAAAGAACACATTGTATATGTTGCTGTTATAGGTCTGTACTGTAGGAGACCTAAAGTAGTAACATGTATTTTTTTATATTGATATGTTGTAGCGTATTGCTTTTACAGAAATAACTGAATTTTGGAAAATATTTGTTAACAAAAATTTGTTTGAACAATATTTGCTCAAACAAATTTATACTATACAAAACTTCTTCTTTGCCAATTACTTTATTTCTTGCCTTTTTTTTTTTTTTTAATGCAAAAATAGTGTGTGTCAATAAAGTTTATTCACTCAATATTAGAAAAGTAAGATGAAGTAAGTAAGCAATTAGAGAGTAAATTTGATAATAATTAATGAAAGTCTTCAGTCATTAACTATAATGCATATCAGAATCTCTTCTTTGAAACTTGCGTTATAACTCGATAATAGTGTATGTTTTGGATTGTTATGTATAAAATAGTACTAAAAAACTATGTCTAGTATATACTACAATTGATCAAAAGACTTTTCTTTTTTAAATGAAAATTTAACTAATGTGAAAATATTGTAAAAATAAAATTATCTACCATATTTACTAGAATTATAAGATGCCGTGTTTTAGTATCTCTGGAAATAGGGTTTGTCTTAGATTCAATGGCATCTTGGATTTGTAATAATAGGTCAAAATTATCAATGATGCAATGAAATAAGATGCCATGCATCTTATTTCATTGCATCATTTTGATGATTTTATTAGATCAATAGTAGTATAAAATAAGAGATCAGTTTAGCTCAGTCTCATTAGCCTATTACAGTAATTTCATAAATACTTGTATGAAAATTCTATAAAAAGTTATGCAGTATTCTTTCAAGAAATATTGCATTTCCAATGCTTTAACTGACATTGAATTTGAATGTGTATGGGAAGATGTGAATATCAAATCCAGTGTTCATTAGCTTAGTTTTAATTTATTAAAATTAAAACTAAAATTATACATATATAAAAACTAAAACTCGGGAATATGACTAAAACAACATTAGACTAATTGATTCAGAAGGGCTTAACAAGGCAAGTGAATAGGTTTCTAATTTTGGTATACAGTGATATATAAATATATTTTACTTGCAATAAATGCTGAATACAGTAGACCCCCCTATAAAATGGGTTCATATAATACGGATTTGTATATAATGGCGAAAAAATTGCTATTGTATTTGTATAAACATGCTAAGAGAGACTTGTATGATAGGGTAAAACATCATTGCCAACTCGTGTCATGACAGGATTGGTCGAATCTAGACCAATAACGGATATTGCACAAACCATTGAGTTTAAACGAGCAGAGGACCTACTAAAAACCATTTATTATTTAATGGCCATAAAAATTATATTTATATTAATGATGTCTTCAAAGTTCAGCAAATTTTTTGCAGAAAAATAATTTATCAGGAAACACGCACCTGCCATTCGATGCGCTGCTCCACGACGAAAACAAGCTTAAGCAATGGCGTTGTCGAACAGTGCACATTCAGTAAGTAATCCTACTATTTTTTGTTTATAGCATAGTTCATATGGATTATTTCCAAAAAAATTATATGTGTTTTGGAAATGTTGAGTCAAATTAGTCTAGAATCTATTAATTTTATGGAAGAAAACCTTTCAAACAGCCGTAGTCTGTAAACTGCATAAGTGCCAGGCTGTGATTAGCTTATGTATTTAAGAACTCATACAACATGAATTTCATAAAACACGGAACATATTTACCGTGTTATAGGGGGAGTCTACTGTAAATAGTTCAAAATTTGTTATCTGAAGTTGTCTATTTTTTCAAATCTTTGGGTGAGCATGTAGAAATTAAGGTGTGTCTTAGATTCAAGTAAATAAAGTATATTAAAAACAAACTATAACATTAGTTCTAATTAAATTAATATTTGTTTAATTTTATTATGACAATCTGAATAAAATAACTTTTTTCATATTATTAAGATTTTGCAAATTTAAGTGATTTTTTATTTTGTTCAGGAGTTAAAATCATTTAATCTAGCAACTACATTAGTGTACTTCTTGCAGCACCATTCTAATAAATTTGGAAATTAACTTTGTCATTGATTTAATGCTTAATAAACAAAACAAGAATTTCTTTATTGATTTTGATGATGATTTTACAATACAGTATTAAAATACCTATGATAATCATATTATAAACAGTATTGTCAATATATAGAATAATTGTTAATTAGTACACTGATGCAGCAGCTGTGTCTCACCCAAACTGGCTCAAATCTTGAGGTCAAAACCATCCTAGCTAGCTCAGTATTGTGCTTACTTGGCATTATATCTCTATTATGTTCCTTAAGATAAAATGCCAATGTTCTGAGTCTGGACCCAATGTAGTGTGTAGCAACATTGGCAACAATGTCTCTACATGGTATCATATAGAAAAAATTATTTTTTTGCTATTTTATTCTTATATTTTATTTGAATCTGGGAATTCTATTAGTATCTTATCTGAGCCATTTTAGAATTGTAAAGTATCATTTGATTTTCAAACATTTTTGCCTGAAGATGACAGATATGAAAGCTGTTGAAAATTCTTGTGTATTTTTGTAAATAGCTTCAATATAGTCTTTTTTTTAAAAAAAAAACCCTGGAATTTTTCATAGATGGTCCATCTCTGATGTAAGGTCCCATTCCTCATCACTCAGTCACCTCTATTGTTTACCAAGTCCACAATGAGAATCCATAATGAGTATTTAAAAAGTACACATAGAGCAGAAAGAGCCAAAAATGAAAACAACAAAAAACAGCCATTGTTGTTCATGTAGTTGATGCCCAAAAATCAATGTATGGTGTAGAGTGAGTTGTAACAAAGCATGTTTGTTGTTCTTTTTTGTGGAGGGCACTAGAGGTGTGGAAAATAAACTGGACATGCTGCAACTGCAGCAAGAGGGAGAGTTGCACAACATCATTTTCCAGCAAGACAATGCTCTGTCACATTTGGTTATTGTGATGCATGAGTTTTTTAAGGCCGTGTTGAGTGTTGAGTTTCTTTTATGCAAAAACTAACAACCTTCCAACACATATTGTACATAACATTTACTAACCTCTAATTGCATTATTTAATTTTATGAAGCCCCAATTAGATAATTCTGTATATTAAATCTGTGACATAAAATGAAGCAAGAGAAAATGAATTTAAATAAATTAAAAAATATCAGAATGGATAAGATTGATAATCAAAAAGTTTGGTTTATATAAATAATATGAAACTCTTAACCAGTCACATGACATATGACATAACCATGACACAACTTATCAATTGTGGCATCATTGAGGGGTTGAATAAATCTTATAAGCAAAAGCTATGTTACTTGCAACTAACATAACTTTATGTTATTGAATCATTAATTTTAAAAATGAATGTAGAAGATGTTTTTAATATTCTTTTCCATTAGTTTTTATTTTGAAATTCTTTCATTTAGTTTTATTTATTGAAAAACTGATTATATAACCAGAACAAGTTAAAATTGTATTTGGTGCTATCTGTTATGAGAATTTATTAAATAAATTTTTTATATTATTACTTCTTATAAAATGGCAAAATGCTTAATTTTGAGATATGACACATGATCCCCCTCTATCTCTCTACCTTGGTGGTTAAAGGTACCCTTGACCTTTAACCACCAAAATTTAATAGTATTAATCCCCCAATACACAAACCTCCCTACAAAATGTCAAAAATTTTCAACAAAAGACACAGGATTTATTAAGATTCAAAGCGGGTAAGCAAAATTATGCTGTCAAGTATCATACACCCACATACTATGAGCATTTCTCATTTTTTCAGGGTTCCAAAATGCAAAAATGTTGGGGGTCATGACAAACTGCAATATGCTGGATCTTCCATAATTCCTTGTTTCTGTCTTTAGTTAGTGTGGAGTGTGTGTGTGATAGCTAGCCTTATTTATAAGGGAATATAGAGCTGCTAGTTTGTAGGATATTTTGTTATAGGATTGCCAATATTTACATGAATCAATTAAGGTGTGTTTACAAAATAGTTTTATGGCATACTAGTGATCCTTCTTGAAGATGTCTAAGTAATTTTAAAATCCGCTCTAGTTTTATTTCAACATTATTACTATTGATTTCCTTTAAAATGGAATCAAAGTGCTCGTCAAAATGCCAAATGATGAATAAGTTGCCTACATAGCAGCGACACATTTTTATATGATTTCAGTATTTTTTTAAATAGGCTAATATTGGATTTGTTAAAAATATTCCACGATAAACTAAACATAACATTGAAAGTAATAAACTGTTACAGGTGAAGGATGATAATGCAGAATTAGCAAGTATTGAACGTCAAACTGCAGAAGTCAGAGAGCAAATTACTCATGCAAAAGAAGAATTAGAACAATTAGAACAAGAACTAGATGATCATCAGGGAGAAAGAAGTAACAAATATCGTGAATTACGTAAAAGAGAAGAAACAATTGATTCGTTCTTATCTTCATTTGATGATAATAGAACAACTGAGGAAGAAAAACAAAAACAATTGCAGATAAACATTGTTGCTCTTTTAGAGCGTGTTAGTCGAAATTTAGCTCATTTTCAGCAACTCCCAACACCGCAAGAATTAAATGTCCTGAAAGACGACTTGAGGTCTGTTTAATTTCAAATTTTATTTAAAAATTTTTAAAATACAGGTGACTAGTGGAAATGGCCTCGTTATTTCTAATGGAGCAAGTCCTGTTCAGAATACTGGTGAAGCTACAAATCATTCATCACCTTCTAGAACAGCTAATGGATCAAATTTTATACCTATTGTTGGTACCTGTGATATGCCTCTGGAACCTTTAGAAGAATTCCCTTGTAAAATTTGTGGAAAGTAAGAAAATTTTTATTTAAGAATGAAAAAAAAAAATTATAATCTTGCTCTAATTTTGAAGGTATAATATTTTCACTATTGAGGTATTTATTCTAAACTTCACTTAAAAATCTTCACTTCAAACTTCAGTTCACTTAAAAATTTTTAAATCTTTAGAATTTTGACTTATAACTTGAAGTTGAGTCATTAAACAAGTTGAAAATGTGAATTTAGAATACAATGGATTCCTCATTGGGCTGCAATTTGGAAAAATTGTAGACCTATAAATTCTCACTGTTGTCCATCTGTCTTTTCTTAATCTCAAGAATGGAGTTAAAGGAAAGTCAAGATCACATATGGAAAGCTTAGGGTATGAGGCCTCAATTATATATGAACTTTCAGTTTGGGCCTGAAGTCATATTATTTCAATTCAAAAATTTTTCCCTAAAGTTAGATAAATGGCTGGCACAACTCTATTATTAACAGGGAAAGTATGATGTACAGGGCAAGACACTACTACTAATTTGAGGTTGAGAACATATATTTTAAATTGAATAAATTAAAAATATGATTAGAAATTGCAGCCCAGCATTGTGACAATGTCACAATAAATAATTGCTCACGTTACATTATCTTTTCATAAGAAAATACTGGTTCACATAATGTGATGTCTTGTGCAACTGTACACATAACGAGTGAAGTGTAGATGCATGCGATTGATGGACTTTTTTTTAATATAGTGTTGTATAGTATGCAAGGGATTTTCATCCTAAATTTGGGGTCTTTTTTTAACAGTTAAAGGGTAAAAATTTTTATCTAGGGAATTTTCTTGCTATTTTATATTTTAACAATGTAAAATATTATTATGATGATTTATTAGTTTTTCCATCTTAATCTATAAAACAGGTAACATTTTAAAAATTTGACATAATCACCACCAATCTGTTAGATATGTGTTAAGGTGTTGTTTTCTAGTTTTCCAGATAACAGATTCTACTCTCGCTTTGGATATGGATATCTGTGTTTGTTCACTTTTAATGGGGAGGTGTTTAAAGCCACTAAAAAATTGGTATCGCATGTGACAAATAATTAAGAAAAAATTATACTAGTAAATCTCTGAACTTTTTGCATCAATTAGAAACCATTACATGGGATCCATTGTATATATTTTTTTACTCTTAAAATTGTGTGTGCTTAGTGATCTGATAATGCCTGAATTAGCCTATTTTAAAATTACAAATATATTTTGATTCTTTATTTTGAAATCTATATATGCTTAAATGTGGAGAAAAGTTTTCTAATCTGGTTTATTCCATTAATTTTTTTTATTAAAGTTTTTATGTTTTGAAAATTTTTATTCATTCACAGAAATGATATTTTCTGTTATTTTAATTATTAATTGTTTTAATTAAAATTTTTTTTTTTTTTTTGTAAATATAATTCAAAATTAGAGAGGTTCTTACTATTAATATAATTAGTGTTTTCTTTAATAATTTTCAATTAATATAATTTTAATTTTTACAGTTTTTATGTTTATAAAGCAAATACTCTTAAGCATAGAATATTCAGATACAGTACATAAGTCAATTTATGTGTGCTTATCTTTAAACATTTACTGATAAACATGGGACATTCAAAAAGTTACCAGAAAGTGGTTATTACTTGTAAACAAATGCTACATTTATAATTAATTGATTCAAATGTAAACTTGTCNTAATCTTTTATGAAGTATACATAAATGTATATTTTTAAATAGTGTCAAGGAAGGAGAGATGGAAAAGTCACGTTCGACTGTATCTACCTTAGATCACGAACAGAAAAAATTAACAATGAATTTACAGCAAGTAATGAAAACTTAAAAATTGATAATTTTTTTGTAAATATTGTGTAATTTAATTACTACTTCTAATAACAGATTGAACAATTGGAAACAAAGATTCAGCAAGAATTGGAAACATTACATCAGAAAATACGTACCATGGAAGAAGAAATGGAAACTTATAGCGATTTTGATGGATTGAGAAGTGCCGCAGAGAAAAAGAGACAGCGATTAACAGAACAAGAAAAAATACTCAAAATTCATTCTGCTTCTATTAAAAAGGTAATTATATCTATAAAATAAATAAATCATTTAATAAAATATATATTTATTCTAAATTAAATAAATATTACAGGCAGTTACAGAATTGGATGCAAAATATGAAGAGCTTCAGGCAAAATTAAATGATAATGAAACTTATATACAATTAACAAATCTGGAACGAAGATGGCAGCATCAGGAACAAAATAATTTTGTGATGAAAGAATTTATTGCTAATAAAAAAGCTGAAACAGATTATTCTTCAACTCAGAAAGATGTATTTAAGTTGACAGATGATTACAACAAACTCCTTCATGAGGGCTTGAGTAGAGGAACACATGGTTAATAATTTAATTAGAACTTTTATATTTATTGTAAGTAAATGCTTCAAAATATCTATTTAAAGCTGTTTATGTAAGAAGCTATATTTCTTTTTTTAAGGTAATAAAAATTTAGTATATTTATTTATTTGTAACACACAATAAAATCACCTTGTTATGAATATACTGTACAATAATATTTATAATAGCAAGTTATTTAAGCAATGCTGTGATGAATTAAAATCTTAATTATTATATCTATATCATTTTTTTTTTGTGATGTTTAAATTAGTTATTAATATCACTAGATATAAATTTTAGTATACTGAGACACTGAAAAACACCATACATATTTTTCCAGCAGTTAATTTTTAATAAAACTAATGTTGTCAGCTTGATTAATCAAGCCAGTAACATTAGTTTTATTAAAAATTAATAAAAGTACATATGGTTTTTTCAGTGTCTCTATATATTGCATGGTTCCAGCTTAGATTATTATCAATTTTAGTATTCTATTAATGAAATCAATGATAAATTATAGGTGAAAATTTAGAACAGACTTTTCAACTTTGGGTGTCCTAAAAGAAATTGCAAAAACTTGAGAGTTTTGCATTGTGTTAGAATAAGAAATTCAATTCACATGGCTCAAGAGCCATGTAGGATGGAATTGTCCTCCTTGAGATTTCCTTTACTATATTTTTTTTTTAAACAATTTTGTAACAATGGCATTCTGATAAGTGCAAAATTATTTTAATAATTGTTAGATTAAAATAACTGCAGTCCACGTGTAATCTGATGGCCTGTTTTAAGTCATGCAAGTGCTGTACTATTTTGAAGACTACAGTTTTATAGAATATTGGAATTTTCATTTGTTTTTATTACATCTCCTATAGATCAATGAAAATAGAATAAGTATAAGTAAAAACTGTTTAAAAGGCATGATTTTAGAAAATCAACTTGTTAATTGATCTAAATCTATGTAATTTGCCATCTGAAACAAAACCTTGCAGCTCCCTTTGATGTTGCAAACCTTGCAGCTCCCTCTACATTCAAAACAATATTACTAGAGGATTTGATCCTGGGATACCAACCACTTTTCAGTCCCGAAATTTTCGGGATTGACGTCACTTTAAAAAAGTTGCAAAATAGACTGCTTGAAGCGAAACGTTCAGTGCCAGTGCTCTTAACAGAATTGCTTTCCTATCGTTTTAATATATACAAGATAAAATACAAGAAGTTTTATTCTAAGCAAGCAGCACAAATTTATTAACCTAGAGGGCTTGCAATGCTTGCTTGGAATAAAACTTCTTGTATTTTCAACTAAAATGATAGGCAAGCAGTTCTCACTGGGTTACCTGTTAATATACTTCATTTTTGTATTTTTGAATTTTTGCGGGCACCAATCGATTTTCTGGCGCAGTCGAGAACACTGTAAATAAATTACAATGAAGCTACTATTTGCAAAGAAATGTATTTTCAATTTCCTTATGTTTATATAACTTAGATTTTTGTTTCATTTCATTTAATTTCAGGATATATTTTCCATTAGCCAGATAAAAACTTATTTTTAATCCCTACCTAGAGAACTCTAATTGGTCTTTTCCAAGTCTCTCTGCAGATGAAAAAATCTATGCTGCACAGGATGCTTGAGATTAGAGTTGTCAGATTTCTACAACTAAATTAAAGAACACTTAAAACTCACTAAATGCTACTATTGTCCAACTTTTACTCCACCCCATCCTACCCAGGGAAGTAAAATTGAATGATTTTTTTAGCTAACAATTAAACATTTTGTTTATATTCTTTAGATTTTGATTTAAAAATTTTAGTTTTCATATTGACTAAATATTTGCAAACTTTAGTCTAATCTGAAATTTAAAATATTTAATGGTAAACTATAGCTTTCTATGGGGCAAGANGCATGATTTTAGAAAATCAACTTGTTAATTGATCTAAATCTATGTAATTTGCCATCTGAAACAAAACCTTGCAGCTCCCTTTGATGTTGCAAACCTTGCAGCTCCCTCTACATTCAAAACAATATTACTAGAGGATTTGATCCTGGGATACCAACCACTTTTCAGTCCCGAAATTTTCGGGATTGACGTCACTTTAAAAAAGTTGCAAAATAGACTGCTTGAAGCGAAACGTTCAGTGCCAGTGCTCTTAACAGAATTGCTTTCCTATCGTTTTAATATATACAAGATAAAATACAAGAAGTTTTATTCTAAGCAAGCAGCACAAATTTATTAACCTAGAGGGCTTGCAATGCTTGCTTGGAATAAAACTTCTTATATTTTCAACTAAAATGATAGGCAAGCAGTTCTCACTGGGTTACCTGTTAATATACTTCATTTTTGTATTTTTGAATTTTTGCGGGCACCAATCGATTTTCTGGCGCAGTCGAGAACACTGTAAATAAATTACAATGAAGCTACTATTTGCAAAGAAATGTATTTTCAATTTCCTTATGTTTATATAACTTAGATTTTTGTTTCATTTCATTTAATTTCAGGATATATTTTCCATTAGCCAGATAAAAACTTATTTTTAATCCCTACCTAGAGAACTCTAATTGGTCTTTTCCAAGTCTCTCTGCAGATGAAAAAATCTATGCTGCACAGGATGCTTGAGATTAGAGTTGTCAGATTTCTACAACTAAATTAAAGAACACTTAAAACTCACTAAATGCTACTATTGTCCAACTTTTACTCCACCCCATCCTACCCAGGGAAGTAAAATTGAATGATTTTTTTAGCTAACAATTAAACATTTTGTTTATATTCTTTAGATTTTGATTTAAAAATTTTAGTTTTCATATTGACTAAATATTTGCAAACTTTAGTCTAATCTGAAATTTAAAATATTTAATGGTAAACTATAGCTTTCTATGGGGCAAGATATATTTTTTGTAATTAATCTTTTATGAAGTATTTATAAATATGTGTCTATCAGTTTCTTGTTGATCATAATATTTTAGGCTAAATTTAAAAAAACTCCCATTTGTACTTTACAATTTACTTTCAGATTTTTCAATGAAAACTGAACATGACATATTTGTTAGCAAATAAAAAATAAAATAGTTCTACTGGACTAATATTTTTTATTAATTATTAATTATGTATCAATCACCAATCATCCATTTCAGTTAGTAGACTTACATAAAAATATAGGAATGCTTAAGATAATAAATACTGTGTTTAGAAGTTACATTAACAGAAACTTTTTAAAATTTCTTTAAGATAAAATATTATGGAAATTTTTTAATTAATTGTAAAAAATTATAGTAAATTAATACACAAGTTGATGTACAGACATATGCTTTTTCTATACACAAAACTGTAGTTTTTTTGGTATTAATCCTAAGATTAGGAGATTCAAATAGATTTTTCAGCAAATAAATATCAGATTGTAGGATCTTTGGATTGGAATATATCAACTTAAACTGGTCAATATAAACTACTACATGGAATTTAATTAAGATGACAAAGAAGGCTGTTGATATATAATGAACAGAAGAAAGGACACTGAGAATAGAACCTTGTTGAACACAAAGAAATTGTTAAGAAATTCATAATCGCCTAGTTTAATTTTACATTTTCGTATCAAAAAGAAATCATTGAACCACGAATGAATCGCTGATCGATATTATATTCATGAGGCCAGTCAAGAAAAATATTTGGTAAGACGATATCAAAGGCACTACTAACGTCTATATAATGATAAAGGACAAAGTTTTTATCAAATTCATAGTTTTGGGATGATGGCGAATACCAGAATGCCTTTATTTATCACAGTGTAAAAGAAGATTCAAACGTATAAATGTAAACAGACTTTATTTCGAATGTTTTTGTCGTCACGATCAGTAAAAAAAAACAAAATCCAGCAACGGGTTGTGTAACTTTCCCAGCGAAAAACACTAGGACTCTAACAGAAAGTTGACATTGTATGGCACCATCTGTATCATGAGATTTCATTATTATAATAAAATGGCAAAAGGCTTAATTTTGAAGAAAGAAATAACTTTTTAAAATATTGTAAATGTCAATAACGATTAAAATATTAAGTCCGAGTAAATTTCAGGCCAAATAAAACTGGTCACTATAGGAAGGTGGTCGTGTCACCTACATGGTCACATTGGCAGGTTCCACTGTATGTGTATGTGTATATATACGAGTATGTATAATCAGTAAAAAAAAAATATTTGGATACAAGTAAATGATTGTTATAACAATTCAAATTCAGATTTTAATATCAAAAGTAAATTGTTACCAGAGCCTCTTTGGCCATAGGCCATTGCGACCGACGTTACCGCTTCCCAGGATGTGGACCCAGAGGTTGGATTTTGGGAAGCGTGTTCGTGTTGTGAAGCGGTGTTGTTAATAATGCACATGAATGGAATCATTGGTGGTTGGATGCGACGAATGTGTCGTTTGAACTGTGTGTTTCAGCGTGAGGAATGTTGTTTATGTGCGTGGATGTGAATTACTAAACTAATGTGAATAGGACAAGGGGAAAAAATTAAAAACACCTTGTCTACTTACATCTAGATTAGTAAATTAAATTTAAGGTTTTAGTTTGAATGTTAGTATGACAAGAGGAAAAAAAAAAAAAAACCTCTTGCCTTCTTATCCTACGTTAGTAAATTGAAACTAAAACCTTAAATTTAAATGTTGTTAGTATGACAAGAGGAAAAAACAAACGAAAAAAACCTCTTGCCTTCTTATCCTAGGTTAGTAATATCCTTCAGAAATAGCAAAGGAAAAAGTCGTTCACTTCTCTTACGAAGCGACGCTTTTTCCTTTCCATCTTTGCCCACACCGAACGAGAGGATCCCACTCGTTGGAAAAGGGAGGAATGATCGAAACATTCCTCCCCTCCCAGTGCGTCAAAGATGATGTCGTCAACATGGAGACATTTCACCTTTCGGAACACGTCCGAATGGCGAAATGTCTCCTCTCCGTTCAACGCGGAACAGAGAATGCTGTCGACATCCGCTATTCCCGAAGGCGATCCCGTGAAGGAAGAACCCCTTCCGCAATCGATGGAAGAGAGTTCCTCTCCCCGCTCAAAGGGGGAAAAGACCCTCTCTTCATCGATTGCGGAAGGAGAACGCCCTTCACACTTCTTCATCTTCTTGGGCCGCAGCCAACGCCAAAACCGCCAGCTCTTCATTCTGTAAAGAAACAAAAAATATATATATATATATATATATTAATGGGTCTCGGATATACTTAACGCAGAAAAAGTACAAGATAATACTCACGACAGAGCTCGCGTTAGATCCTACCGGAAATTGCTAGAACGTTCGAATTGCATTTGCAGTAGAGACGACCGACCCGGAACGAATAAACTCTTACGTGTAATTTGTATTTGTACGACAGAAAAGTAAAGACACGCCGCACGTAGCCATGCGCAAAAGGCACTCGTACTCGATCTCGAGCCCAAGTCGTAACGAGTGTTTCGTTCTAGAGCAATTTACCCTAACGTGCGTCACCTAACCGCAACGATGGCATTTAAGAGAGTTTCGTGCGAAGAAATTCCGTACGAGAGTCGACGAAAACACAAGACGTGCCCGCAGCCGGGACACGAACGTTTAAGTGGCACAAAGCATTTGCAAAGGGTTACGTAAGTGTGGAAGATGGACTGCACTCGGAAAAGACCGCGTTGTGGAAAGAGACAAACAGCTTAAGGAAAAGAATTCTTTGTGTCCAGCCTGTATAGATAACTGTTAAGTGTATTAGATTGTGTTTTAAGTCGCACAGCTGCAGACAATTTAATTCTCGCAAAGTAAGCCATTGAAAAGCGTTGTAACTAATACGTAGATTCAATGGAGAAGTCGGAGGTGAAAGGGCGAAATTTTTGACGTCCCGGATGTGTCGAAGGAACGTGTCATGCTTCAGAATGCGGTCTCCGTGTATCCTTCGGTCCATCCGGTTTCGAGTGTATATTTTAGTTAAAATTACGATACGCAATTCGTATTTAGAGTTAGTATTAACTAAGTTTTAATTGAATTTCTATAAATAAGATATTTGCAAATAATCCTTATTCTTTGACCGTGTTTATAAAATATAATCTAAATTAATTAATTACGAAAATAAACCAATGAACAAATACTTAATTTTTTCGGCGCTTCGGTCGCTTTCCAATATGGCGGCTGGTTTAAAAGTCGAAAGAGGTGCGTTTCGGATGGTAATTCAAACAAAAAAACACAAGCGATGGCAGATTTAAACGCGAATATGCAAAGTCCGAGTCGGCCGATGTCGTCTCCGAGAGTTGGACTAAACGAAACGAAAATAAAATCTTACTTGGTGTAATGTCGGCGTCCACGAGTCTTCTTAAAACCACGTTCGGGTAACAAAGAACACCGAAAACAGGCAAAAAAACACAGCAGAAACAAGAGCAAAGAGCGCACACGTCTGTCCGGCAAGCGAAAAACGTGCAAAGTAACGCAAAATCGTGTTGCAACAATACGCGTTTCCATAGAAACGGCAATTGTTGCGAGATTAGAAAGTTCGCAACGAATTCGAATGCGATTGACGTCACGGATCCTTTTTGAATTTTAAGGCTAAATATCTGCATTTTTCACGTTTCTATCCCCGGAGTGAGGACGGATTGGGATCGAGACTCTCCCTACCGCCCTCCGCCATTCTCCACAAGGGGTTAGAAGCGACATTTTCTAAAATCGAACGTCATCTTTACCTCGCCACCCCCCAAAACTAGAAGAAATCCTCCCTCTCCTTCGTCCGGTATTTTCCGATTGACCGACAGCGCAATTTTTACTCAATTTCGTAATACAGTATTTCGTTTATCCGACGCCATTTTAAGAGCGCTTACCCGACGTCATCGGTTATATTAAACATGCGTGTTATAGTTTAGTTACGTAAACGTTAATTAGTATATTAAATAAGCAAATTTTATGAATTCACCCGACCGATAGAAAATATCGTGTATGTATTTTACACGAAATAATCAAATATAGATCTTTCTATATTCAAACTGAGAAAAAGATCGTTCGTTTCAAGAAATGTAACTGTTTATTATTTTAAAAAAATCTATCAATAGCAACTCGTTGCTATTGATAGATAATATAAAACTAAATAATCATGTAAAAATGTAATTGAATATCAAACAAATTTGCTATTCTAATTTTAGAGTTTATATATGTATGCTTACATATAGTCTATATATATAAAAAAAAATCCTACAACAGGTTGCTTAGCTTTCCAGGCAACATTTAAAACTGCGTGTGGCGCCATCTGTTATAATATTTTAAAAACCACCCTGCAAAATTTCAGAAATTTTCGACAAAAAAGTACAGAAGGTATTAAAACCGGCATCCACGGGGATTGGAAGATGTGGGTGGATATTTTGTTGTTTACGGTTGCTTGAGAATAACTACGATCCCTTAATTATACCGGTAAAACAAAATTACATTTAAGTGTTTGTGGGATCGAGAAAGATCTCGTTTCTTTTATTCTCGCTCTTAAAATATGTCTGAATAACTTCCATTTTGAAATGAAGGTAAGATTAGATTATTTAAATTACGTAAAAATTGTCAAAATTGATTATTTGCTTACAATCCAATCAACAACAATACAAAAATAAAAATGGATTCCGTTCTTCTTTATTCTTTAGAAAACGAAAAATTAACAGTTTCCTTATCGGAACTGATTAATTCTAGCGATGCATTAAATGCATTTATCAAAGAATTTCCAATTTCTAAAGATTACACCATTTTTTTTCCTGTACGTCATACAATAATGTCCATGGCCGTCTCGTAAGTTTAAATATCCACTTATGTTAAATGTTTGTTACGAATAAATTAACTGTAATATCATTTAATGCATTACTTATATATGTTTTCTGTTATATATTTTTTATGGTTTTTATAGATGTATGAAACACGAAGATACAGAAATATCATTTATACAGGACGGAATCGAACTGTATATATTTGGCAAAGAATATGGCATGACGAATATTCAACAGTTATGTCTACGTGATATGGATGAAAAGTTAGATATAGATAATGTTTGTTCCGTTCATGATTTTGCTTGCGAACAAAATAATTATCATCTACAATTTATTTGCTGGGAATTCTTCGATGAATACTGGGAAGGTATATTTGAGATGGAGGATTTTCTTAACTGTAAAGAATCAACAATCACCAGATTAGTCTAACGTCCTATATACGATACTTTGGACGAATTAAGTCTGTTTGATGCCGTTGACGATTGGATTAATGCGAAAATCACAACAGAGAAACACTTGGTGACAGATAAAAACACTATTCGACAACGAAGAAAAGAACTCATGAGACCGTTTCTACCGAAACTCAGATTGTTGGCAATTGCGAAAGACGATATGCAGAATATGTTTGATATGTTAGCGCTTCTATTAACAGAACACGAAATGCGAGCGATTCGTGATTTCTTCTCGAGCAAAGATTATCCTAATGCTGATTTATCCGATTTTCCCGAAACTCTTTGTAATAATACGCTACAAAGAAATATGGAGACTTACGACTCTTTGTTTGAATATAATTATAAAAGCGAATCTCCGATAGGAAAAGAAGTTTCTGTCACCAGAAATACACAGTTCGCTTGCGATATCTTTGTAAAGGAGGATTATTTCCTGACTGATATTGTATTACCCGTGTATTTCAGCCATACTAAAACAGTAACTGTGGATTTGAACGTCAGTAAAAATGGAGTTGAAAATTCTGTACAGTCGTATCATCTGGAATGCAATGATATTGGAGAAGCGACTTTATTACTACCGCACTTTCTAAAAAAGAATTCGGTGTATCACCTGTCATCAAAGTTTTCGGAAAAAGAAGAAATGGATATTCGCATTTCCCCTAATGCATATTACTTTATAACTAAAGAAGAGAAGTCGGATAAATCAAAGAAAGAGAATAACGAAAAAGATGCTAACAACTTTTATTTCGAAGTTATTCTTTATTTTTAAATCAACTCGTGAAAAACTATAAACCATATTTGGTACATTAATCAAAATTCCTTATAGAATTTTCATTGGAAACTAAATTTCTATAATGGTAGAACAAATATTGATTTATTAAATGTGTCGCATAAATTACAAATTCATTCAAAGAAAGTAAAGAAATAAATAAATTTATTTGGTATTGTTTGAAATCTGAATCGATAAGGGTCCATCTCGATATGTCTTGACAGATATTCCTTGATTACACCGGTGTAAGATTATAAAGTTTATGAGTGTTTTGATGGGGCCGCGAAAACAAATTGTGACACAAAGATTTACATTAAGAAGAAGCAAAAAAAGTAGTAGTTTAATTAAATATGCCAAAGCGTACAAAGGTTCTGGCGAGACCCAACCTATCAGCCACTTTCAGTGAGACAATACTCGACTGCCGACACCGACATTTAGAATTAATTACAATAAAGCTACCGAGGACCTAATTCTGGTAATTAACGACGATACAAATAATAACAAGCACTAGACAACGAATTATATAATTACAAAATTAGAGACAGAGTGAGAAATACATTCAATTCCAGTGTCTGTCACCTTCTAGAACCAGTGTTGTGGAGTCGGAGTCAATAAAGTTCCTTTCTACTCCGGCGACTCCGAAACGAATTTTACTGTTGGTAATATTTAAAGTACGAAAAATACTTTTTAATTAGCATCTAAAGAAATTTCTTAGAAACGTACATTGATAAATTCACATATAAAGGTCATTTCACACCGAAATTTTATGCGTATCGCACACAACGTGCTCTATACTTTCAGAAAATAGCTTTAATTAATAATTTAAACGAATATTTTGTCACCACCTAGAAAGCGGTATTTATTTTTTTAGCGAAATGATGCCATAGCATTTATCTAATAGAAAGAATTAATAAATAAAACAATAAGTATTTATTATTTTATTAATTTACAATTATGCATTATCACACAATCTAAATATTTGTAAACGTACTCGCAAAAACATTTATCATTAGAATTACAGTTATAAACATCAATGTCAGTAATAAAGTACAGTATAATTCGAATGTTACACGCATTAAAAAACGTCGCTACCAAATCAGTAGTGGGCAATCAACGTTCTAATGGATAAAACTATTGGAAATCGGTCGTGGGTTCATGCCTCGGCGATGGCCCAGCAACGTGGAGTTTTTTGGGGGTTTTCACTTGTACGGGGGCTAATTTTTTTTATTGAAAAGTCCTCCCGGTAGGAATCTTCTTTTGGCAGATCGCTCACGTTTTGCATTTCGTTATCCTATCAAACGAGACCAGTGGGATGCTCCGGACTCCTTCACTAAAATTCGCGTTGAAATCTTTTTGGTCGTGGGTTTGCGCCTCGCTAACGGGTTTTCTTCACCCGAATACCGGCCATTTTCCCATAAAAGACCTTCCGTGAGGCATTTTCTCTCGGCAGATCGCCCACGTGTCGCGTTGCCTTAATCCAATAAAATCAAACCTAAGATCGACCATTTCAGAATGGGATCTCGTTACACAGAACCGAGTGAGCGTTAACTTAGAAAGAGAGAACGAGAAAAAGTAACAAAACGGAATCGGCGATCGGGAACGGAAAATAATTAAAACCCGAATTACAAGGACTCGACAGATATTCCAAGTGTTGGACTATTTATTGTATTTATGGAAGTCGATCGAGACGTCGGAGAAACTTTCAGGACACTCCTTCATTTCAGACTACAGTATATTGGAAAGGAGAGTTTATAATTTCTAAGATGGCTGAAATCTTCTAAGGTCTTTTGTGTCAAATAAATGGTTTGTTGTAACGGTCTCAATGCCAATAAGTTGCTGATATGGGGAGTCTGTCCTGATCCCAGACTCTACGTATCAGCAATCTAAATACCTTCACGTTGTTTCGTATTTTAACTTTCAAATCCTGTTCTATCAAAAAACAAAATTTAAACTAGTAAGATATAAAATAATGGCGCAATTACATAAAACATTTTAGAACTAACCGGATTATACTACTATAGAACATGATTTCAAAAATGACTCGAATTTTTTGACGTAAAAATTGTCAAAATTAATTATTTGTTTACAATCCAATCAACAATATATCTTCTTCCAATTAAGTTGTAATCTTTTTTTCTTCAAGTCAATGGAAGGAATGGATCCCGTCCTTCTTTATTCTCTAGAAAACGAACAATTCACAGTTTCGTTATCAAAGCTGCTCAATTCCAGTGATACATTGAATGCATTTATCAAAGAGTTTCCAATTCATGAAAATTACACCATCTTTTTCCCTGTTAATCGAACAATAATGGCTTTAGCAGTGGCGTAAGTTTAATATACACTTTTAAATGTTAGTTGCTAGCGCATTAACAGCAATATCACCTAATGTGTGTTTTAAAATAACGTATGCTTTTGGTGTATTATAAGAATAATTATTTAATAATCATACTGGATGCTTGATAAATTTATATTTTATATAAATAATCTGATGGGAATTTCAATTTATTTTTTATGGTTTTTTATAGATTTATAAAAGATGAAATTCCTGATATATCATGTATAGAAGACGGATTCGAATTGTATATCTTCGGCAAAGAATATGGCATAAAGAATCTTCAACAGTTATGTACAGAGTTTATAGAAGAAATAATATCATTATATCCAAGTACTGTTTGTCCCGTTCACGATTTCGCTTGTGAACAAAATGATTACAACATGCAATTCACCTGTTGGGTGGTATTCGATGAATATTGGGAAGAAATATTCCAGACAGACGATTTTCTTTGCTGCAAAGAAACAACAATAACCAGATTAATCTCTCGTCCTATATACGAAACGTTAGACGAATTAAGTTTGTTTGATGCGGTTTACGATTGGATTAACGCAAGAATTTTAACAGAGGAACACTTGGTGACAGATAAAAACACCATTCGAAAAAGAAGGAAAGAACTCATACGACCATTCCTTCCGAAACTTAGATTGTTGGCAATTGAGAAAATCGATATGGAGAATCTATTCGATATGTTAGAGCTTCTGTTAACAGAACACGAAATGCAAGCGATTCGTGATTTCTTCACCAGCAAAGATTATCCTAATGCGGATTTATCAAATTTTCCTGAAACTCTTTGTACTAATAAGAAGGAAAGACACGACGAAATTAATACATCTTTCTTTAAATATAATTTTAAATGTAATTCTCCAATAGGAAAAGAAATATCTCTCGCCGATAACGTAGAGTTCGTTTGTCACATACTTGTAATGGAGGATTGTTTCCTTACAGATATTTCGTTACCTATACATTTCAGCGAGAATAAAATAATATCCATAGATTTATATATTTGTGAACACGCAAGTAAACAATCTATGGGATTATATATGTTGGAATGTAATAATGAGGGAAATGCATATTTATTTCAACCACATTTTCTAAAAAAGAACTCGAAATATCTCTTGTCATCAAAAGTATTGGAGAATGATGATGATAAACAAATGGATATTCGCATTCTCCCCGATGCTCATTCTTTTATTATTGCCGAAAAAAAGATTTCTAAGAATGAGAAAATTGAATCCTTTTATTTCGATGTTACTCTTTATTTTTAAAAAAACATCCTGTTGCAAAATTATAAACAGTAAATCATTTACTTAAATAATAAAAAATTCTTGCGAATTTAAAGCCTTTACGGTGTTAAAATCATTAATTTTTATAATAAGCTAGTAATAATCGCTTTATAATTCTGATGGTTTAGTAAAGATTAAATAGGTATTTACTTAATCTCAACAGAAGCAGCTCATCAAATCCAAAAATAAAAGGTATATATTTAACTGTTAAATAATTTTACTAACATAAGATGAATTATAAAGGCTCGTCTTATGTAATAAAATTTGTTAATTACTCTTAAGTAGATATGGGAGAAACTGTCTTACAAAGAAACAAGTATTATACTCAAATTCATATGTAATTTTAAGTCTGCAGGAATGTCACCTTTGAAGTTTTGATAAAGAAATTGCTGTGATTGATGTTAAATAGGGGTTATAATTAATAATCCTTATTTACTTTGTTTATATTTGCACTGGAACACGGAGCAATACAATCCATCGTTTAATATAAAGTCTAAAACGTTATCCTCGATTCGTAGCGTATTGTTTACATTTGACTAGAGCACCCACAAAATGAGGTGGCAGTGATAAGTGAGAATAGAAAAACGAAATTTTCTAATCGCATACATCAAATTTCACTGTAATAATTATGGTCGTTTTATCTAATTATTTGATTAATATTTCCTCAACAAACATACAGACTTTTGTTTTTTATAAACTAGAGATTGCACTCCGAGTACATAACGATTTTTATCATTTCATTTCTTTCAAATTGTATTAATATATCTTTGTTATCTACAATGATGGATATAATTCACAATTTGTACAGTACAATAAGAAATTGTTTATATGGAAGTTCCGTTACTTGATATACTTTCAAGACCTAGTATAACAAGATGAAGGCCGGATGTTTGAGCGGTTGAGACTTCAGTCTACCGCTCTGAGATCGAATTCGGGCTGTTGAAGAACCCAGGGCGATCTTATCCGATGTGTCGAGTCCCGTCTCATACAGTCCACCAGCCCACATTGTGGATCTTCAGAAACCAAGGATGGGTAAGATTAAAACAGTCCTCCATAAACAAAACATCACCAGCTGCCATATTGCAAGTGTGACGAAATATAGGTTGAGCACGAAGATCTTTAATGATCTTAGGTAAGAGTTAGCAATACTGAAATATGAGCGAGATTTGTGCACAGATAATTTCTTACCATACTAAATTTCCAGAGATTTAACAAAAAAATTCTTCATAAAACGATTATTGATGCTAATGTCTGAAATTCCATTTAATCCATGCAAGATCTGTGATTACCAGAGCCCTTTCGGCCACCAATTTAAAGCGTTTTAATCTTTAAAATTGGCGTTTCCACTTCCCGGGACGAGGACCCAGTGGTTGGATTTGTGGGAAGCGAGTGTTCTGGTTGTTTCATTGTGTCGAATTACACAGAACCAGGCGTTTGACGTGTGAGTGCGAGAATTCGAGTAAAGGTTAATTAAACGGTGTATATCTTCGTGTACAGTGATGTTATGTCCATGCGCGCGCGCGTGTATGTGATCGAAGAAGATCTTCGGCATGTCTTTCTTTTCTTTTCTTTTCTGACGGCTTAGAATTGTTTATTTTTATCTTCATTATTTACAACGCCACAATTTTGTATTACAATCCTGTTAGTTCTCGTCGACCCGTGACCTCAGGTGACTGCAATTTGAAAAAATTGTAGACCTCTAAATTCCCATTGTCCTCTGTCCGTCTGTTTTAATCTGGAGAATGGAATTAGATGAAATACGAGACTATATATGGAAACCTTAAGGACAGGAAACCTTAATTAACTATATATGAACTTCCCACTCAAACCGGAAGTCACGTTTTATTAATTCAAAACTCCCCTCGAAAGCAGTTAATAGATAACCGGCACTACTGTATTGTTAAACTTTATTTCTCAAAACTCTATAAAAATAAAATACTTTAGTTTTTCTAAATTTATTAGAAAATAAATTATTTTTGCTTCATATTTATAAACGACATTATATTAGTGAAAATTCAAATATTTTAATTATAAATTTGAAAGTGAATGTAATAAATTCTATGGTTTCCCAGATTTTTCATTTCTATCTTCGACATTTTCACAGGTGTATACATTTGAATCATCAAGCCAATTTTGATGATGATTCATTCTTACTTCTAAGCGCATGTTATTAGAATGCCTGTAGAAATTACGTGTAATCTCGCATTTAGCCACTGCCAGATTACACGGTCATTGGCTGTTGTTGGCTTATGACCAAATCCACCATAGTTTAGCAAAATACAAGACCTATATACGTTGTAAGTACTGTGAGGCCAAACGATACTCGAGCGTTAAAATCAAAGCCCGATGGCTTTGATACTAACGCTCGTAAAAATTGGAAAAAAACATCAGGAAGTAATAAAATTATTAATCGAGAGGATAAAAATGCTTTTAGATAACCTTAAAAGGAGATGCAGCGCTGATATTATGTGTCAGACTTATAAGAATTCGAAACAATTAAATACGAGCAGGAGTTTCAAGGTGCGATTAATTACCCTTGATCGGATTACAACACAGTGTCGAATTAAACCCTCTAGTAGCCCGAATGGTTTGTCATCCGCTTGGATATAGGAAACCGACCAATCAAAAACTAGAGATCCGGGGAAGAGAATCTTTTAAAAACCTGGATCTCAAGGACAAAGGGAGACTTTTCCTGCTTTCCCTGCAGAGACTTCTTCCAGACTTCTCCCAGCCTCTGATAGTATCAACCACTATCCAGATTTTCCCCAGCTAACAACTATAGTCAACTGTCCAGACTTTTCCCTGCCTCCACGAGTGGACACCATCCAGTTTGAACTTCGGGCCCTTCGTCACAACCTCCTACACCATCGAGCATCGACTGACTGCCCCGGGGCCAATAACTGAACAGTCCAGAGCTACCAGAAGACAAGACACTCTAGATCAGTGTTTCTCAAAGTTTGGCCCACGCCCCACAGGGGGGCAATTTGGTTTTTAAGAGCGGCAATTCGAAAATGGACTCGTCCAGATTTTAAGTTAACCGTATAGCCGCTGTAGATGTTAGGGGGGCATAAGAATTTTAGAAAGGCTTAGGTGGGGCATAGCACAAAAAAGGTTAGGAAACACTGCTCTAGATTGTAAGACTTAGTATAAATAAACGGGTTTGTTTATCACTGTAGCTATTTGCCTCACTTTTCTTCATACCACATACGATAAGTCCTGACATTTGGATATAACCAATTCGGCGACCTTCACAGTATGGTAGAAAACAAAATGCTGTAAGGTCTCGTTTTATGCGGTGGATACGTTCTACAGAAAAGCGCATATAAAAAATTCGCATAAAAAAAGACTTTACTTGCCTTGAAAAAGTAGGGATACGTTCCGTAATTTTCTAAAATCACATAAAACCAAAACAACGACTTAAAATTAACTTAAAACCGCATTAAAAAGTTTGCAGAAATTAAATTGTTTTCCAATCGCCGTAGATCCTTCTCCTTTTGCTAAGCGATCTAAAATTGCAATTTTCGTTTCCATTTTGATTGTCTTTGATGTTTTTTTTCCTCCATTGGGCCAAATACGTAAAATCTTAAAAAAGAAATTAGAAAAATTTAGACTTACGATATTGAGAAGGCAAAAAACCTCTTCTAATGAAAAATAAAACTTTACGACACTCACTTTATACGTTTTAATCCAGAAATCAAAATGTGCTGCTTATTACTGCAACTTGAAATCAGTAAAATTTAAACTCGCTACTTATTATAAAAATGAACAAAACACCGCTAAAATAAAACTTAATTTCAAAACAATTACAGTTTATACCTTTCAATACGAAACTCAGAATGATGTAATAGCGATTTGTCGATGGTAAGTATCATGTACAAGGGCCCCGAATTGCAAAAGCTCACTCTAAAAACAAATCACTGACATCTGGATGTGAAGAGTTAATTAAAATTTAGTTCTTCGCCCGAGTTAACACGGGCAGATTACATAGCATTACATAAAACACGGTCCTTAAGGCCGAAAAATTTTTGTTTTGAATTTTTGGAATGTTAAAAAACATTCCAAAAATTCAAAACAAAAATTTTCCAAACAAAAAGTCTTCAAATTTTTTAAAAATATTTAAAAATATACGGCCAGCTAGTGTTCACCCTACTTTAAACCCTTGTTCTCCCGCGACGTCTATGAGAATGCCCCGGGAAATCCGACTCCAGCTGTGTTCAAGGTCATCCAGATGTGTAAACAATGACTCATCGGTGTTAAATTTCACAGAAGGGCAAGACAAAGGAAATTAAACTTTGAAGCTTTTTTTTTTTTCAAAATTAACGCATTTCTTTCGTTTTTTTCAGTTTTAAGTATTTTTTATGTTTAATTACATTTATATCAAAAATTGCTAGGAACTAAAGCGATTAAGGTAGATCTAGCTGTACTTTACATCCATGAACGTTATATGTCAGTGGAACAAATGGAGTGAGCTTTGAGCGTTCCACGATTTTTGGAGACTATACGCGGGCTTCCTAAACAAGCCTATATGTATGTTTGTCCAAGAAATTTTTGGAAGAAATACAAACCGCACAACTTCAAAATCGCATAAAAATAATCCGCATAAAAAGAGACCTTACAGTATTTTTAACTATTATGAAATGACAAAACACTTAATTTTGAAGGTAGGGATAAGTTTTGTAAAAAATTGTAAATGCTAATAACGAGTAAAATCGTCATTAAGTCCAACCCTACTGGTAATACACACGATCCCCATTATCTCCCCATCCCCTCGAACTTTAATCACCAAAATTTAACAGCGTCAATCCCCTTAAAAACTAAACTTTCCTACAAAATTTCAGAAATTTTCGACTAAAGGCACGGGAGTTATTAAGCTTCAAACAGGGAAACAAAATCCTGCCATACACACTGACATCCATACATACAGAAATTACACTCGATTTGTTTTTCACGTTTTAAGGTGTCTTAAGTCCAAAACTGTAAACATTTTGGGG